AACGTTCAAATGGGAGGGAACGCTTAGATATATTTTCTACTTGGCGGTCTTCAGCCTGTCCTCCACAGAAGTCCCTCGGAGGCTGCCTGAGGGTCCGGGGCAGGCGTCAGGAAGCCTGCTCTCTGTCCCTCTCTTCCTCCATCCACTACAGAGCTGTGGTTCCCCTGTTTCCACTTGGCTATTTCGAGTGTTGGAGCAAGGGACTGGTGGCCCAAAGGAAACAGAGAATCCCCTGCATGTTCCACGGAAGCTGTTGGGCACCAGCGGGCACCGAGTGGGCCATCCTCCATATCTGTAGACACACTGGGGCCTTTCTGCTTCCCTTGAATTGGAGTCAGTGCTGGTGGCCTTGACCTGCTCCCCTCTGTTGGCATCAGCATTGTTTCAGAAGGGGTGAGTGTCTCTTTATTGGTTTGATAAAATGCCTCTCAGTGTCCTAACTTGCCCAGTGCAGAACACACGGGAAGGATCATGACTGCCCACGGACTTTCCATGTTGGCCTCCAGAAGTGCGTTTAGACACTGAGTTGACAAGAACGGAAGCAGAAGACCTGGACTCTCCTCTTGGCTGCTGGGGGGACCTTTGTGATCACAGGGCTGCAGGCCAGGGAAGGTGTTACGGGAAGAATCCGATATCTGTTGACATGGAAGATTTCATCAATTGCTCCTAAGTGGTCATGACAAGCCTGTGCACACGGAAGCTGACTGCCGGAAAATCTCAGGAAATCCTACAAATCTTCACCTGCACCCTTCTAAGAAAGACACAGAGTTTTGGATGGGCTGTTCCCTTTTAGGGATTTTCAGAAGTGAACACACACACACACACACACACACACACACACACCTAAAATAAACAAGTACCAAAGCCAGTGGTTGCTGAGTGGGCCCCTGTGTGTGTTGGAGCAGAACTGGGCTCCATACGGTTTTCCAATGGCGCCGATGTTTCCGATGTAGATCACCAGGCCTTTCCTCTGGGGAGCCTCTGGGAGGGCTCGAACCACCAACCTCTCAGTTAGTAGCTGAGGGCTTAGGAGTTTCGCCACCCAGAGGGTCCTAGGAGTAAGCACAGGACTGTTGTGTTGGCTACTGTGTGATTCTCAACTTCTTTTGGTAGAAGACTCCCTGTGAAGACCCCCCAGCACATGCTTTCCAGTGGCAGCGCCTCGCCTCCTTCCACTCCAGCCAACAACGTCTAGACAGCGTTTCATGGGTACTTCCTGAAGACTCTGATACCATCCCATGTAAAATCCCATCCACAGGAGGTCAACGACTCCCAAGTGCGTGGTGATTTAGAAATTCTCAGAAGAGTCAAGTGGCCAGGGAAAAACACTTCTGAGGGAGCAAGGGGCCTCCACAGTGTCAGCAAAGCCCCCCTGCCTCACTTCTTCTGCGGGGCAGTCTCTAGGACACACAGTGTCTCCTTTCTCATCACCCTTAGAGGTGCGGCCTGTGCTCCCTCTTCTGTTTTCTACCAAACGTGTCCTGAATGTCTGTGCCTGATCCTGGGTTGGGGGTGTGCGTGGTGCATGTGCATGTGATGGTGGTGACCGTGGGGAGAAAAAGGGAGAGGTACACACGATGCACCAGGTCTCCCAGGGAGGTCAAGGATGTTCATATGTGATTCTAAGACAGGATGCTCTGCTAAGTGTGAGGAGAAGCACTAAATGGGGAGAACTGGCAATAAATCAGCCCTGCCTCTTTCAGTGTATCCTATCTCTCCCTTTATTTTGTACTGCCTTTAGTGTAGACAGCAGTTGTTTTTGTCTGCTCATTAACCAATCCCCTTTCTGTAAGAGCATTGGAAACAGCTCAGTGAGACTGTCAATTAAAGTGCCATACCCTGTCCCCAGTCCCCACTAAAAGTTGGGTGCATGACCCAAGCTACACTAATCCAGTTCTCATCCTCTGAACATTGGTGCTTGAGTGGACTGACAGCAGGCTAGAAAATGGTCAGAGTTGATTTTGTCCTGTGATAAAACCAAAGATGCTGGCCAAGGCCACTACTTGGATCACTGGGTCCTGTCCTTTAGGGTGACCAGTCTGCTTTTACAAAGATCGTGCCATCTACCACCAGTGCTTCCCAATGCATTCATGCTCCTTTAGCCTAAATTTGCCGAGCCTGTCACTTTTGTTTGTATCTAGAGGACCCTAACATCATACGCTTCTGGAAATGAGAGGCCAGGTCTCAGAGCTCATCTCTGCGTCCTGTCAGTGTAACCCACACCAACTAAGTACTCAGTAAACACCGGTCATTTGGCAGCTTGAGGAGAGGTACCTCCTCAAGGGTGAAATATCTTCCTACTTAGCTATTGTACTTAGGGGGGGCAACATTCCAAAGTTTGTCCTTCTGGCTACGTAATTTATTTTTAAGTGTTGTGCTACCCCATCATGACACAAAAGCAAAGGCTGTCTCTTGCTTAAAGCCTTAGAGCAGTGCTTCTCAACCTGTGGGTCGCAACCCCTTTGGGGGTTTAACGACCCTTTCACAGGAGTCACCCGATTCATAACGGTAGCAAAATTACAGTTATGGATATAATGTTATGGTTGGGGGTCACCACAACATGAGGAACTGTATTAAAGGGTCGCAGCATGAGGCAGGTTGAGAACCACTGACCTAGAGGCACGACAGAGACCCGAGTGTATATACAGATGGTCTTAGAAGGTGATTGGATTGGTAAAACCTTCAAGGTTATTGAGAAGCGAGAGCGGTTTGCTTTCAGGAGGTCTTGGAACTGGTAGCATTCTAAGTTCAAGTCAATGTTCACAGTCAACATGGCAATGCAACGAGCACCTTGAGTCACTCAATTACACATGGATCCACTTGGGACCTCATTCACAGCACAACATCCATGACAATTCTCAAATAGAATTTTTTTCCAAATAGTCTTTGCAACTATTTCTGTAAATGGTTTAAATGCTCTGATTGAGGCTGCAAATTAATAGACAGCCATGGCAAATGTCTTTGTAATCTGAGAAATCTCAATGCAAAAACAAATAAAAAAACCACCTCCAAAAAAAGGTCTTTTTGAGGACATGCACTGCTATTTCTGGAGATTTTTTTTCTTCGTGAAAACTCAAGGAAGCAAGGATATAATTAATATGTTACTGAAGTGTCACTGGAGTCCCTGAGTGACATCAACAACTAAGTGCTCAATCACTAGCTGACAGGTTGGTGGATCA